AGCAAGCATATGGGCGTATATCCCACCGAATGGTAAACACGTATAATTATAAATGTACTGTAGTGAGCATTTACAAAGTTATTGACCTCGGACAGACGGGACATCGAAACTACGTAATCTGTCAATGGTTTGCAGCTATTCGCGGATAACATATCATACGCATATAAAACTCGGGTATTTCTCGCACCAAGTCCACCGCGAGATATTTCGTTTTACGCACAATGGAGGACGTGGATAACCGGACTTGAGCTCCGGTGCGAATCTCCCAATTTTATAAATCGTATTCGAATCTCGGGCTAGCTAATTTGGCGTGGCGAGGAGCATACAGGCATTTATACCGCCTGAGGGAACGAACAACTGACTTGTCAAATAAAAATAAATACAAATGTAAAGTAAACAGATTTAATGTTTTAACTAGTAATTCACTCAATATAGAAACGCCATAGATACAACATGTCTAAGTACAACGGCAATTTCTGAAATTACAAAATGCGTGCTTTACAGAAATTTTACAGTGAAAACACAATAGCTTTACCGCTATCGTCAGTTCTCATTGAATGATACATAACACAATAATAAACTCATGTCAACAAAATCGCCAACCAGTTCACAACGTTCTGTACAGTCCTGTACCACAGTCAGCTGGCGCACACGTGATAATAAAATAAATACGATATTTACTATATGGGGGCCGCCATCTTGAATGCAGCGAAAACTAAATACGAGACAAGTTGTGAAACGCGTTTTTCAGATTCCTACAAATCAGGACAAAAATACCAATCTTTCACAAAAATACGGTCCGTTGGGGTTATATTAAGCCAACCGATAACAAAATTCGGCCTAATTCGTCGTTTTTGCGTGGAAAAATCCCTTGCATACGAACACCTAATTACGCGAAGAACATAGAACACTAAGCCGGGGTATTTGAAACCGAAATTGTCATCTAAGCGTTAGGCCGTCGCTGATTGGCTGCTGAGCTGGAATGCAAATTTTAATAAAAAATTATCTGTGTACAGGCTATATGCATTTCGGCGGGAATTATAGTCAGTGCTATGTATTACGTCATATACGTAAAACAAATTCATATATATAGGGTTGTCATGACATTGACCTTTAATGACACAGAAGAGGGCACTTAAGCCATTCGTTGCACCATGTCGCTACTTTGTACCAACTTGACGGCTTAATTATTTTCTACGCCCTGCTAAGTAGTACTATGTACATCTATTTTAGTACGAACATTGTAACTGTTGAAATTCTATGTTGTTATTGAATCACCAATACCTAAACACACACAATCCGAAATATGTGTTAATTTTAATGACCTGTTTTTATGACCAAAATGCCGGAGCCCGAAAAATGAAAGTTCTCCGTAAGAGGGCGCTCATCCTGAAGGAATATTATGCGTCAACGCTTGAATTTCTATAACTTTCATGTAGTCTATACTTTAATAATAGTGATTACTTGATATTACAAGTATCACTGCATGTACAATACAGCTTAATTCCATGTATTTTTGGACATTTTGGACTCGGAAGTTGGAGATTCTGGAAAGATTTGATTGATATAATTTTATTTCACCAATAATAACAATTCTAGTAATAATAATAATAATAATAATAATAATAATAATAATAATAATAATAATAATAATAATAATAATAATAATAATGGTGTGGTATAGAACACAGAGGTAGTTCATCCGAACTACATTTCTATGCAGACTATATATATATATATATATATATATATGTATATATACGTACACACACACACATACATACATACATACATACATACATGCATATATACACACACACACACACACACACACACACACACACACACACACACACACACACACACACACCCACACACACACACACACACACACACACACACACACACACACACACACACACACACACACACACACACACACACACATAAAAGAATATGGAGCTATAAGTGCGCTACTCTGCACATCATATTATTAGTGGAACAATCGTGGGTAAGTACAAATAAAGTTTAGCTGCAAATAATACTTGTATCATACATATTAATAATGATAAAGATAGTATTTAAATATTATAGTACATTGTTCAGTATACGTAGTTTTAGAGAACTTTTGAAAGTTATTCTATTAGTAATTTGTTTTATTGGATCAGGTGGAGAATTCCAATGTTTTACGGCTGTATAATTTACAGTATGTTGGGAAAGTGAATGATTCATCCTGGGGACATAGTAGTTGTTACCTGACGCAAGTCGTGTTGGATATAAATGAGGTAGAGGGGAGAGGTACTCATTGGTAGTATGAGCATAGCAGTCGTTTTTCAGATCATAAATGAACTGACATATCTTAAATTTACACAACGTGTGAATATCAAGTATGCCTAGTTTTTTAAATAGAGGGGCGGTATGTGCATTGTAAACAGCAAATGAGATAAGCCTTACAACTTTCTTTTGCAAAAGAAGGATAGGCTCTAATAGTGTATGATAGGCGTTTCCCCATATTTCTAAACAATAACTAATATGCGGGAGAATCAGGGAATTGTATAACAAAAGTATGACTGATTTGGGCACATAATGTCTGATCTGGGAGATAATACCAACTATATTATTTTTTTTACTCTATCTCAAAACCATTTATATCCATGCTGCCCTCAGTGCCCAGGTGTTTATGAGGCGTTTTAATAGTCATGAATTTGTCTTTTTCTACATTGACTGTAAGTTTGTTGGCACTGCACCATTCACAGATTCTTTGAAAATCGTTGTTAGTATCTGCAAGTTTGATTGTGTTACTTTTAATATACTGAAAAAGGTTAGTATCGTCTGCAAATAGGCGAAAATCAAAAGCATTAGTTGAGTTATTAATATAATTTATGTAAATTAGGAATAAAAGTGGGGCAAGAATCGATCCTTGTGGAACACCACACTTTATTGGTTTATGTGTAGATGTAATATTGTTAATTTTCACTGATTAATAACTGACAGAAAGGTAGTTTTTGAACCAGAGTAGCGGGAGCCATCATAATATTGTAATTTGTGGAATATCGTGATCTATAGTACCAAAGGATTGTTTCAGGTCGATAAAAAATACAAAAGTAATATAACCTTTGTTATCAGGTCGGCCAGGGCAAGTGTTGCGCTGTGTTTTTTACGAGAACCAAATTGAGTTTTAACAAGTATACTTTTTTTCTCTATGAAATTAATCAGCTGTTTATTAACAATTGATTCAACAATTTTACTAAATGTAGGCAGGATAGATATCGGTCTGTAATTGTTGGTATCTGTGGTAGATCCTTTTTTTTTATAAATTTTGCCAGTTTAGAGAGAGTCTGGGAAAATGCCTTGGCTCAGTGAACAATTGATAACATTCTGCTGGAGAGTTCCAGAATTCCGGAAATACAGGTTATTTGTGGAGATGTACAAACATTTTTGCTTTTGACGCTGGTTGTATAGTACTCATGTGCCGGCGTTAATTAATTATTATCGCGCCAATAAATTGCTGCACACGCTCATTTTGTAACGGATACTGTAATCTAACAAGAACTGTGTGTTTACTTCGTGATAACGCAGTATTGAAACCTCGATGTTCTCATCCATATTGCATCTTTAATTGCTAAGTAGGCTTTGGCGATAGGCTTAAGGGGCGGTAGTTGTCGCGCCAAGCATGCTCGAGATATATGGGTCTCATATAAGAAAATGGGGATTTTGACTGTTGCACAGATCAACGAGTACAAACTGAGACGTTACCCAGCTTTAATTAGGTAATCGCGCCCAGGTCAAACCTCATACTTGGGATTTCTATTAGAACAGCGCATTGGATTGTGGGAAAATCAATGTTTATCAACACAAATGTAGTACATGCGCAGCGCGACGACCACCGCCCTTTAAATAATTTAATATTTATAATAATAGAGTAATCATGACTTCATTTGCTACTTTTCAGGTGAATTGACAGAAGAGGAGTTTGAGCACATATTCCAATTTGTAGTGAACAACGAAGACCGCATTTATACAACGACAAATTATGTAATTGGCATCGGTTTTGACATGCGACAGAAATATGATTTTTTGTTTGCTTTGCAAGGATCAGATGAAGACTATTACGATGTCTACATAGGAGCCCGAAGTCTTTCTGATTTTGAAATCGATACACTTTTCAGGGTCAGTTGTAAACATCAATCGCTTCAGTTCCTCTTTTCCTCAAAAAATCCTTCCAGGCATGTTTCGGAGACACAAAACTTCTCATGCGTCACAATGCATATATTAATGTAATAATAACTATTCATTGTACAGGTGATTAATCTTCCCAGACACATTGTAAGTGTGCAAAACGACATGCCAATGTTCAGCGTATACCCTCTAGACGTGAAAACATCACTTGTAGATTCCGTTGTGGGTGAAACTCTAACCGATGATGTGAAGAATCTAATCAATGATCCAGATAGTTCATGGACAAAGGTTTCCGTAGAATATTTGAACAACGAACAAGTGCGGAATTCTGAAAATTTAGGTATTACTGGTTAGATGTTTCTCTTCGTATAATATTGCATGTGTCCATAATTATACATAATTCCAGCCACATGATAAGTATCCCATCATCATCTATTTTCTTCATAGTTACTGAGATCAGAATGAGGACAAACTGTGACGTATTCTTCTCATATGGTCAATCATTAAATCAGTCCATTGCTGAGTACAACCCTTGCTCTGAAGAGTATGGTAAGTTTTTGTCAAATCTTTTTTCGAGTAAGTGGTCGAACACATGACGTATATAAATATAATATCTGATCGGTTAATTTATTCAAGATAATTGCTATTTTGATTTTCAAAACGTAATGTGGTTAGCATGTATGGTGGTATACCAGTGCACTAGCTAAACATGGACAGTTATATATCTTTGCAGCTATTTCATTTTCACCACTCATAGTTGAATTTAATCATTTTTCTTTTGCTTTATCAACAGAATTATTCTACCCATATGGCCCGGAGTTTGGCGATGAAATAAACCCAATCAACGACGATGGCAGTTCGGGCGAACAATTTATTTCAATTCCATTCCCGTTTTTTGAAACGTTTCATGATTCACTTTGGGTAAGATTGACATATGATTGAAAGATATTTTTTTAAGGCAACATATGTAGAAAATGTGATTCTGGTTACTTATATCAATCACACTAGATAATAGTAACAAATATTGGGGTAGTGTATTGCAGAGAACGTGCTAAAATGTGCTCTGATTAGGTAAGCTCGACCTACAGTATTTTTCTATGAACATCATGAGTAACTAGGAACTAGGTGTAGTCAGTCCCCAAAACGATTTTCTTTTATGTTTGCACAATTGCATCTTTATGTTAGCATTTGCATTTAATTTTTACACCATTTTATCATTATGTTAGTAATTTTATTTGATCCTTATATGTATTTATTTTTATACGAATGACGAAACCATAAAAAGACGCAGGGACTGTATTGTCACCAAGTTGCATTGATGTTGTCATGACGATGCTATGGGGCGACGCCCTCACTGGCGGAGTCCACACGCCGTCATGACAACGCATGCAAAGTATTTAGACTATTGGTTGAACGATTAACACTGTCGTTTATAAAATTGGGGGGTTCCAGCGTATTAAGGGAGAAGAGGACCGGGGGCGTAGGGTGACGATTGTAGTGGTAATAAATATCTGGCTGTACTATACCGCTGATGTCTTAATGATTGAATGGTGCGTATAAGTGTCGAGCGATCCTAGTGTACCACTCACTGCCTTGCGAGTTACCCATTCCCCGTTACAACCACTTCCCGTATATTCAACCTGACGAACCATCCACTCTTAACAACCCCTGATAGACGAAACCCGCACTGTTACATGGTGTTAGAATCAAACGGTCCGAAATCAGCTGAAATCGGTGCGGCTGACGGTGCCTTCACAGAAGCTAGCGAGTTATTCCCTACAAGACAAGACGCGCAATGCAGTTGGTGGAAAGCTACTTTGTACTTCGCGTGATCAAAGACGGTAACAGCGAAGCAACGACATAAATGACATCGCTAAACTTGAGGTGGAACGACAAGACAGGAAAACAGACATCATCGAACTACCCACGACCAGAGCGACACAACTTCAGTGAAGCCAACCCGTAAAATACTGCAACCAAAGCTAACCATATGTGACTGCACGGGAGGCAACCAACCAACCAAACAACTTGATGACAACGATCCTGCCGATGTCACAAGAAAAGCTCAACCAGTGAGAAGTACAGAAACGCGCAGATGTGAGTTCAACTGAAGACTTTGACAACGCATTCAATGACTCATATGAACTTTTGTATATAAACTCTTTTTAGACGCAACTTTCCTATTCTAGCACAACTACACTTTTCAGATCATTTGCACAAGGTATGGTTTTGGGTATCTATTTTTTTTCTTCTACTCGCATTGACTGTCTTTTATATCACTGACTCATTCTGCTATATAGGTCAGCCATAAAACATTAATTATTGTGAATGCTCCAAGACTTTGCGAATTGTTCTTGTTGAGCACAGTGATTTCTGTATAATTATGCACCCGATTGTAACAAAATTTAATTTGACATG